GTGTTTCTGAAACCTACAATTGAGAAGGCACAGACAGGTAGGAGTAAAGCTTTGAAAAGCACATTTTAGAAACTGATCTGCAAGGATTCCTGACCCAGTCTGCAGCCTGACTCTGCTCATTGCTCCAGGGACAATGCAGCACTCCTCACACCGGGAACAACCCCCTCAACTTGCTGCCAGCTGATGGCTGTGAAGGTGTACCACATGGTACCTGGAGATAATGAGGCACTCATCTGGCATTCTCCCTTTCATCACCACTGCCTATTAAGCAGGAGATGAATACTGTATAAACTGCACAGAGACATTTGTCATTGGATTAGTGAGCTGAATGTACAACCCTAGGATGTGAAGAAGGCACATGAGGGAAGCATACATACTATGTGTAATTGACAAAAATTCCAACCTCTGATGATTCTTCAAAATCAGAAATTTAAAAAAAAAAATCCCATGCATTTGACAAACAAATGAGGAGTACCCCGGATTTTCAAGTGACTTTAGAGCAAGAGTTAGTAAGGTATACCCCGGGACAGGATCCAGCCCGCTGTGCCCATCTCTGAAATAAATGCAGAGACACGGCCTGTCATGGGAACATGGCCTTGCCAAATCGGCCACTCCCTTCCGTGGCCATCACCTCCATCTCCATCTGCACTGGTCTGGGTCATCCACTTGTGTGTCACTCTTTACACCAGAATGTGACAGCTCCAAGGATGAGAAGTCCTTCTCTGCTGTCTTGTCCTGTTGCCCCCTTAGCCCAGCCACATCAGGTGACCAGTATCTGTCATGAGCACCTGACCTGGGTCAGATGAGCAGGGACCTAGAACACCTGGTCGCTGCGGGAGACCCCATAGCGCAGCTCGTTCACAAAGTGTTCGCAGTTTTTGAAGATCAGCGAGTAAGGCACCTCCTTTCCCACTTTCTCCATGGCCAGCTGGACAATCGTGTTGGGAGGCCGTGGCTTGTACTTGTCATCGTGCTTGTTATTGACCCGGTACCTGTGCTTCCCAGCCACCTCAGACAGCAGTTCCTTCTTCACCATGGCTGTTTTAGCAAAGGCACACTTGAGACCTGAAACACCAGCTCCTGCAAATTGACATGTTAAAACATTGTGTCAGCCAAGAGTAGGGTCACTGGGGCTGAGAGCAGGTTCCAGCTCAGGCAGCCTCAGTATCCTTGGCCACATCCCCAAGGACCTGTCTGTCCATCTTGCATGGGCTGAAATTCAGGAACAGGTCAAACCCAAGCCTGGATGGCTTTTTGGGAAGTCACCAGGGTCCCAGGTCTCTAGTTTCTTTATGGGACCATATGGGTCCATATGTCCCTAGTAGAATCAGGGTTTGAGCTAGTAGACAGCCAGGTCCCCATCACCAGCCTAGAAAAAGTCACTGGGCTCCCCAACCAGGACCAGCACTGTGGGAGCACCTGCAGGTGAAGGAACATTTGCAGTAGTGTGAAAGAGGATTCCTGAGCATGACCGAGGCTCACCCTCAGAATCTTGGCTCACTCACCATGAACCCTAAACCCAGCCCTGTCCCACTCATGCCCCAACCAGGCCCTAGACCCTGTTCTATGACATGTAAATGGAAGGTACCAAGGCAGCTGAGAGCTGTGACCTTAATTCCCCAATTTTCTGATTCATCTTTCCCCAGAGGTCCCCACCTCCTCAGTTTCAACCAGGCTACTGCTAAGCTGAGCTGAAACAATGGTTATCAACCAAGCCTGAAGCTACCAGCAGGGAGCACATGGACCCTGGGCCACAACCTAAGCAGGTCTGCTGAGAGCTGGGCCCTCCCTGGGTGCTAGGGTCCATCAGCCCTTCCTCCGCAGGCCTGTGGGACATGAACCAGTACATGAGGGCACTTTTGTTCTTGACTCTCTGTGTCACTGCCCCTCAAATACAGGATTAATTTGTGTTGGAATCTGTGGTACATCCTGCTTGTTACCGACATAGCTGATACTCCAGCCTTCATATGTAGGTTTTTCTAATAAATGCTGTAAATTCAAGAGCCTCATGGCTAATATGATGGCTCATCCTCTGCCTAAAAGCACCAGCATCCCATATGGGAACCAGTTCTTGTCCCAGCTGTTATACTTCCCATCCAGCTCCCTGCTTGTGGCCTGAGAAGGCATCAGAGGACAGCCCAAAGACTTGAGACCCTGCACCCATGTGGGAGACCCAGGGGAGGCTCCTAACTCCTGGTTTCAGACTGGTTCTGTTCTGCTCTAATTTTTGTGGTCATTTTGGAAATGAACCAGTGAATGGAATATCTTTTTCTCTGTCTCACCTTTCTCTGTAAATCTGACTCTGGTTAAAATAAATAAATTTTTTTAAAAAGAAATAAAACTACATTTGGATATATATTTCTGAAAATTAACCAAATGGGAGGCCCCATTTGAAAATGCCCTTAAACCACACTCCCACAGTCACATAAATTAATCTTAATTTTTACCCAAAAATGCTGGTTTTGTGCATGAACTAACCTACTCTCACATGAACAAGACCATCCATAGCTTGGGCATCAGTCAGCGTCGACCAGCACTCCCCATCGTAGGGGACTGTATGTCTGTGGTCCCAAAACAAGCAGGCAACATACGTGCAGAGTCTTCACAAAGTTCATGGGAGACCCAGCACAGTAGCATAGTGGCTAAAGTTCTCACCATGCATGTGCCGGGATCCCATATGGGAGCCAGTTCATGTACTGGCTACTGCATTTCTCATCCAGGTTCTCATTTAAGGCCTGGGAAAGCAGTCGAGGATGGCCTGAAGCCTTGGGACCCTGCACCCATGTGGAGACCCAGAAGAAGCTCCTGGCTCCTGGCTTCGGATCAGCACAGCTGTGGCTGTTGCATCCACTTGGGGTGAACCAGCAGACAGAAGATCTTTCCATCTCCCTTTCTCTGTGTAAATCTGACATTCCAATAAAGTTAAATAAGTCTTAGAGAAAAAAGTTTGTGGGAAACAAATCATGAAAAAACTGCATGGATTTCATTTTTTTTTAAAAAAAAAAAAAAAAGTAGGTTTCCTGAGCCTTTCAAAGACTCTTTATGCTTCCTCCTTCATGCTATGCCTGCTCCAACCCAAGCTTCTTGCCAAATTTGGCTTGAAGTCTCCCAGTCCTGAATTCTTCTTTCAATCTACAATAAACCTCTCAAAGCTACATACACTTGTGTACACACACCTGCCATGTAGCAGCCCAGGACATACAGGGGTGATCTATTTCATCTGGGTCCCTACTGTTTCAGTAGGTGAGTGGCTTCCAGGGTCTACCACTCTCCTTGAAGCCATGATGCTCCATCCTTGCACCTGCACCTGCTCCTGGCTCCTGGGAGGAAGGGAAGTTTATCCTGGCTCCACAGAGAGTGCAGCCACGTGCTCCAAGTCAGTCAGTGAGCAGAGCAGCCAGGATCCCCCTGCGTTATGCTTCCATCACACAGCACAGCCAGCCAGGGTGGACTGTTTGAAGGAAATGACTGCTGTTGGCTGTGGCTTACTCCTCCTGAACAACCAACACGTAGGCTATTAGTCACATGATGGGATGTTGAGCAGGTAGAGAAGGATTGCTCAGAGTTGAACACCCCTGCATAAGAAAATAAAAATCGGGCCCGGCGCGATGGTGCAAGTGGTTAAGGTCCTCGCCTTGCACGCCCGGGATCCCATATGGGCGTCTGTTCTGGTCCCGATGGCCCTGCTTCCCATCCTGCTCCCTGCCTGTTTCCCGGGCAAGCAGTCGAGGACGGCCCAAAGCTTTGGGACCCTGCAGCTGCGTGGGAGACCTGGAAGAGGCTCCTGGCTTCGGACCGGCAAAGCATGGGCCGTTGTGCTCACTTGGGGAGTAAATCATCGGACGGAGGATCTTCCTCTCTGTATATCCGCCTTTCCAATAAAAAAATTTTTTTAATAAATAAATAAATCTTTAAAAAATAGAAAAGAAAAATCAAGAGCCATCTCTCCACCAACTGACTGATAACAACAGGCAGCCTCTGACACACCCAGCAGGGAAAGGGCGATTAATTCATCTGAGTCTTCCTGAGTGCCAACTCCACCAGTCAAGAAGCAACAGGCATGTGTCCATGCCTCTGTTTACCCTCCCGATCTCAGTTAGTGTAATTGGAAGGAGAATGCTCACTTACCTGAAGGAACCACATGAACCACATAGCCATGTCCCACGCACACGGCCCAGTGTTGAAAGCCAAGGAAAAAAATCTCAATCAGATCTCCAACTTTTGGTGTTTCTGAAACCTACAATTGAGAAGGCACAGACAGGTAGGAGTAAAGCTTTGAAAAGCACATTTTAGAAACTGATCTGCAAGGATTCCTGACCCAGTCTGCAGCCTGACTCTGCTCATTGCTCCAGGGACAATGCAGCACTCCTCACACCGGGAACAACCCCCTCAACTTGCTGCCAGCTGATGGCTGTGAAGGTGTACCACATGGTACCTGGAGATAATGAGGCACTCATCTGGCATTCTCCCTTTCATCACCACTGCCTATTAAGCAGGAGATGAATACTGTATAAACTGCACAGAGACATTTGTCATTGGATTAGTGAGCTGAATGTACAACCCTAGGATGTGAAGAAGGCACATGAGGGAAGCATACATACTATGTGTAATTGACAAAAATTCCAACCTCTGATGATTCTTCAAAATCAGAAATTTAAAAAAAAATCCCATGCATTTGACAAACAAATGAGGAGTACCCCGGATTTTCAAGTGACTTTAGAGCAAGAGTTAGTAAGGTATACCCCGGGACAGGATCCAGCCCGCTGTGCCCATCTCTGAAATAAATGCAGAGACACGGCCTGTCATGGGAACATGGCCTTGCCAAATCGGCCACTCCCTTCCGTGGCCATCACCTCCATCTCCATCTGCACTGGTCTGGGTCATCCACTTGTGTGTCACTCTTTACACCAGAATGTGACAGCTCCAAGGATGAGAAGTCCTTCTCTGCTGTCTTGTCCTGTTGCCCCCTTAGCCCAGCCACATCAGGTGACCAGTATCTGTCATGAGCACCTGACCTGGGTCAGATGAGCAGGGACCTGGAACACCTGGTCGCTGCGGGAGACCCCATAGCGCAGCTCGTTCACAAAGTGTTCGCAGTTTTTGAAGATCAGCGAGTAAGGCACCTCCTTTCCCACTTTCTCCATGGCCAGCTGGACAATCGTGTTGGGAGGCCGTGGCTTGTACTTGTCATCGTGCTTGTTATTGACCCGGTACCTGTGCTTCCCAGCCACCTCAGACAGCAGTTCCTTCTTCACCATGGCTGTTTTAGCAAAGGCACACTTGAGACCTGAAACACCAGCTCCTGCAAATTGACATGTTAAAACATTGTGTCAGCCAAGAGTAGGGTCACTGGGGCTGAGAGCAGGTTCCAGCTCAGGCAGCCTCAGTATCCTTGGCCACATCCCCAAGGACCTGTCTGTCCATCTTGCATGGGCTGAAATTCAGGAACAGGTCAAACCCAAGCCTGGATGGCTTTTTGGGAAGTCACCAGGGTCCCAGGTCTCTAGTTTCTTTATGGACCATATGGGTCCATATGTCCCTAGTAGAATCAGGGTTTGAGCTAGTAGACAGCCAGGTCCCCATCACCAGCCTAGAAAAAGTCACTGGGCTCCCCAACCAGGACCAGCACTGTGGGAGCACCTGCAGGTGAAGGAACATTTGCAGTAGTGTGAAAGAGGATCCCTGAGCATGACCGAGGCTCACCCTCAGAATCTTGGCTCACTCACCATGAACCCTAAACCCAGCCCTGTCCCACTCATGCCCCAACCAGGCCCTAGACCCTGTTCTATGACATGTAAATGGAAGGTACCAAGGCAGCTGAGAGCTGTGACCTTAATTCCCCAATTTTCTGATTCATCTTTCCCCAGAGGTCCCCACCTCCTCAGTTTCAACCAGGCTACTGCTAAGCTGAGCTGAAACAATGGTTATCAACCAAGCCTGAAGCTACCAGCAGGGAGCACATGGACCCTGGGCCACAACCTAAGCAGGTCTGCTGAGAGCTGGGCCCTCCCTGGGTGCTAGGGTCCATCAGCCCTTCCTCCGCAGGCCTGTGGGACATGAACCAGTACATGAGGGCACTTTTGTTCTTGACTCTCTGTGTCACTGCCCCTCAAATACAGGATTAATTTGTGTTGGAATCTGTGGTACATCCCGCTTGTTACCGACATAGCTGATACTCCAGCCTTCATATGTAGGTTTTTCTAATAAATGCTGTAAATTCAAGAGCCTCATGGCTAATATGATGGCTCATCCTCTGCCTAAAAGCACCAGCATCCCATATGGGAACCAGTTCTTGTCCCAGCTGTTATACTTCCCATCCAGCTCCCTGCTTGTGGCCTGAGAAGGCAACAGAGGACAGCCCAAAGACTTGAGACCCTGCACCCATGTGGGAGACCCAGAGGAGGCTCCTAACTCCTGGTTTCAGACTGGTTCTGTTCTGCTCTAATTTTTGTGGTCATTTTGGAAATGAACCAGTGAATGGAATATCTTTTTCTCTGTCTCACCTTTCTCTGTAAATCTGACTCTGGTTAAAATAAATAAATTTTTTTAAAAAGAAATAAAACTACATTTGGATATATATTTCTGAAAGTTAACCAAATGGGAGGCCCCATTTGAAAATGCCCTTAAACCACACTCCCACAGTCACATAAATTAATCTTAATTTTTACCCAAAAATGCTGGTTTTGTGCGTGAACTAACCTACTCTCACATGAATAAGACCATCCATAGCTTGTGGGCAATCAGGTACAAAGACGCTCGACCAGCACTCCCCATCGTAGGGGACTGTATGTCTGTGGTCCCAAAACAAGCAGGCAACATACGTGCAGAGTCTTCACAAAGTTCATGGGAGACCCAGCACAGTAGCATAGTGGCTAAAGTTCTCACCATGCATGTGCCGGGATCCCATATGGGAGCCAGTTCATGTACTGGCTACTGCATTTCTCATCCAGGTTCTCATTTAAGGCCTGAGAAAGCAGTCGAGGATGGCCTGAAGCCTTGGGACCCTGCACCCATGTGGAGACCCAGAAGAAGCTCCTGGCTCCTGGCTTCGGATCAGCACAGCTGTGGCTGTTGCATCCACTTGGGGTGAACCAGCAGACAGAAGATCTTTCCATCTCCCTTTCTCTGTGTAAATCTGACATTCCAATAAAGTTAAATAAGTCTTAGAGAAAAAGGTTTGTGGGAAACAAATCATGAAAAAACTGCATGGATTTCATTTTTTTTAAAGATTTATTTTTATTATTTTTTCATTGGAAAGGCGGATATACAGAGAGGAGAGACAGAGAGGAAGATCTTCCGTCCGATGATTCACTCCCCAAGTGAGCGCAAAGGGCCGATACTATGCCGATCCGAAGCCAGGAGCCTCTTCTGGGTCTCCCACGCGGGCGCAGGTTCCCAAAGCCCTGGGCCGTCCTCGACTGCTTTCCCAGGCCACAGGCAGGGAGCTGGAAGGGAAGCGGGGCTGCCAGGATTAGAACCGGCGCCCATATGGGATCCCGGGCGTGCAAGGCGAGGACCTTTAACCACTTGTGCCACCGCGCAGGGCCCGATTTCATTTTTTTTTTTAAAAAAAAAGTAGGTTTCCCTGAGCCTTTCAAAGACTCTTTATGCTTCCTCCTTCATGCTATGCCTGCTCCAACCCAAGCTTCTTGCCTAATTTGGCTTGAAGTCTCCCAGTCCTGAATTCTTCTTTCAATCTACAATAAACCTCTCAAAGCTACATACACTTGTGTACACACACCTGCCGTGTAGCAGCCCAGGACATACAGGGGTGATCTATTTCATCTGGGTCCCTACTGTTTCAGTAGGTGAGTGGCTTCCAGGGTCTACCACTCTCCTTGAAGCCATGATGCTCCATCCTTGCACCTGCACCTGCTCCTGGCTCCTGGGAGGAAGGGAAGTTTATCCTGGCTCCACAGAGAGTGCAGCCACGTGCTCCAAGTCAGTCAGTGAGCAGAGCAGCCAGGATCCCCCTGCGTTATGCTTCCATCACACAGCACAGCCAGCCAGGGTGGACTGTTTGAAGGAAGTGACTGCTGTTGGCTGTGGCTTACTCCTCCTGAACAACCAACACGTAGGCTATTAGTCACATGATGGGATGTTGAGCAGGTAGAGAAGGATTGCTCAGAGTTGAACACCCCTGCATAAGAAAATAAAAATCGGGCCCGGCGCGATGGTGCAAGTGGTTAAGGTCCTCGCCTTGCACGCCCGGGATCCCATATGGGCGTCTGTTCTGGTCCCGATGGCCCTGCTTCCCATCCTGCTCCCTGCCTGTTTCCCGGGCAAGCAGTCGAGGACGGCCCAAAGCTTTGGGACCCTGCAGCTGCGTGGGAGACCTGGAAGAGGCTCCTGGCTTCGGACCGGCAAAGCATGGGCCGTTGTGCTCACTTGGGGAGTAAATCATCGGATGGAGGATCTTCTTCTCTGTATATCCGCCTTTCCAATAAAAAAAATTTTTTTAATAAGTAAATAAATCTTAAAAAAAATAGAAAAGAAAAATCAAGAGCCATCTCTCCACCAACTGACTGATAACAACAGGCAGCCTCTGACACACCCAGCAGGGAAAGGGCGATTAATTCATCTGAGTCTTCCTGAGTGCCAACTCCACCAGTCAAGAAGCAACAGGCATGTGTCCATGCCTCTGTTTACCCTCCCGATCTCAGTTAGTGTAATTGGAAGGAGAATGCTCACTTACCTGAAGGAACCACATGAACCACATAGCCATGTCCCACGCACACGGCCCAGTGTTGAAAGCCAAGGAAAAAAATCTCAATCAGATCTCCATCTTTTGGTGTTTCTGAAACCTACAATTGAGAAGGCACAGACAGGTAGGAGTAAAGCTTTGAAAAGCACATTTTAAAAACTGATCTGCAAGGATTCCTGACCCAGTCTGCAGCCTGACTCTGCTCATTGCTCCAGGGACAATGCAGCACTCCTCACACCGGGAACAACCCCCTCAACTTGCTGCCAGCTGATGGTCCATGAACGTGTTTAACAGAAACCATGAGTTGGTGAAGAGGATGATGATCAGTAGGATCACGAATGTGAGTATGGTACACTGAGTTGCACATGAATGCATTTGATGTACTCAGCATGTATGTGTCAGCAGGTGACCACTGATCTCTCACTGGCTCTTCTGGCTCTTTCAGCTACTTCTCTCTCTCTCTCTCTCTCTCTCTCTCTCTCTCTCTCTCTCTCTCTCTCTCTCCTGCCCCTCCTTCTCTCTATATTTGTGCCCTTAGCAATCCAGACCATCCCAGGAAACCTGAGACAGCTGACATCGGGGCTCAGGCCAGAAGCAGGGTGACAGATGGCAGGTGTGCCTGCAGTTCCTAATGGGGCAGTGCACTTCAGCTCAAGCAGAAGGCATGCTGCCCTTGGCACAAGCGTTCTATTTCTGGACCACTCTGAGGTCACCAATTGCCACCCCACTCTTTGACTAAGCTGAGCCAGGCCACAAGGGTGGGGACAACCCTGATCAGGAAGCTGATCCACAGCTGAGTGGTGCAATGACCATTGATTGGGGACTGGTGTCTGATACAGCTGGCAAGACATTGATGGCCAGATCAAAAGTCACCTGGAGGAGTGGGTATTTGGGCACAGAAGACACGACACATCCAGGACACTGGCATCCCAGTTTCAGGTGTCTGAGTTTGAGTCTCAGCTCTGGTCTCCATTCCAGCTCCTGGGAACCAGAATGTGATTCTTCAACTACTCAGATCCATGTCATGGGATGCTAGACTCGGATGGGGTTCTGGGCTCCTGTCTTCAACCAGGCTGTAGTAGGCATTGGGGGCGGGGAGTGAAGCAGCAGATGGGAGAGCCCTCTCTCATTCTCACTCTCCAGCTCCTCTCTCCCTTTCAAGTAACACAAACAAACAAAAATAATTTTCCTTTCCATAGTCAGTTTGTTCATAATGGCACAGATTTCAGTTATCAGAAACGCACAGATCCACATTGGCTGGATCATATCAAATACTTCGAAACCCATATGTTCATATCGATATTTCTAAAACCCATGAGGCATCATTGAATGATATTAAGGAATCACCATGCTATTCCACAAAGCTGGTAAATAAAGGACAAGAACCAGGAACACTCCAGATCAACTGTAGTCAAGAAACCTGATTAAAACCACAACAGGGCATGGTGCAATGGCTCAGACACTATATCGTTGCCTCACATGTGCTGGGATCCCATGTGGATGCTGGTTCATGTTCCAGCTGCTCCACGTCTCATCTGGCACCCTATTTGTGACCAGGGAAAGCAGCAGAGGATTACTCATAGCCTTGAGACCCAGAGGAAGCTGCTGGCTCCTGACTTCAGAACAGCTCAGCTTGGGTTATTGAGATCACTTGGGGAGTGACCCAAAGGATGGAAGAGCTTTCTATCTATCCTTCTTCCTGTAAATTTGCTTTCTAATAAAAATCAATCAATTACACATGAACCAATTTTTGGGAAAAAAAAAAACACAAAATGCAAAGCCAAGGACAGACATATGCCATAGTGGTTAAGTCATTTCTAGAAACATTGGCTTCCCCTACCAGAGGACTTGGTTTAAATTCTGGTTACTCAGCTGCCTACCTAGCTTCCTGCTACTGCACACCCCACGATGCAGCAGGTGACGGACCAAGTGTTTTAGTCCCTGTCATCCTCAGCTTCCTTCCAGGACCTCCACCACTGCCCACACAGCTGTGGGCCAACATCCTGAACACAGGCTCCCCACACCCCGCCGCCACACTGCACCCTGGGAGGCCAGGAAGCCACTAGGAATGCAGCCAGAGGACACTTGGAAAAGCACAAATTCAGACCCTGGCAGGTGCTGCCGTCCCCTCCCCTGCCTCTGTGGACCAGGACCCCCACCGCAGCTGAGGCCAAGACAGCTTCTGCGCTCATGTCCCAGGGCCAGGATTATGCGAATGCTACATGTGAGGAAGTCAAGTCACAGGCTTCAGAGTGCCATAGCTGCCAGCTGACTCTGACCCATACAGAACAACCCTCTCCCCACTGGTACTATGTCTGGGGACTCACCGAAGCCATCCTGTGTCCAGCAGATTATGCGTGTGCAGCCACCTGCATGCCCAGCCTTTTATTGGCAATGAGGAGTTTCATTTTCCATCCTCCACCTACTCAAGCATGGAAATACTTCACATCAAAGACCAAGGTTCATATGCAAATCATTTGGTCATCAAACAAGGGCAGGACACAGGTATAGAAACTGGTAGGAATGAGGAAACCAGAGTTGAAGAGGGACACTCCAGGAGGGGCCTAGGTGTGGTCAGGAACATCAGTGGGTTAATCCCTGGTCGACAATGCCAGCATCCCAGACCAGAGCACTTGTTCAGTTCAAAGGTGCTCCAAATGCAGTACTAAGTGTCTGCAAGGGCAGCGAAATGACCCAAGAGCTTGTGTCCCTGCACCCATGTGGGAGACAGGCTGGAGTTCCAGGTTCCTGCCTTTATCCTGACCTAATCCTGGCTGCTGATCCAGTCATTTGGGGAGTGAACCAGCTAGTGGAAAATCCTCTCTCTGTAACTCTACGTTTCAAATACGTTAAAAATCTCTTTTAAGAAATCTTTATGGGCCCGGCACGATGGCGCAATGGTTAAGGTCCTCGCCTTGCACGCCCAGGATCCCATATGGGCGCCGGTTCTAATCCCGGCAGCTCGCTTCCCATCCAGCTCCCTGCCTGTGGCCCAGAAAGCAGTCGAGGACAGCCCAAAGCCTTGGGACCCTGCACCCGCGTGGGAGACCCGGAAGAAGTTCCTGGATCCTGGCTTCTGATCGGCATAGCATCGGCCATTGCGCTCACTTGGGGAGTGAATCATCGGACGGAAGATATTCTCTGTCTCTCCTCTCTGTATATCCACCTTTCCAATAAAAATAAAATAAATATCTTTTTTCAAAAAAAAAAGAGAAAATTAAAAAAAAAAAAAAAGGAAATCTTTATCCAAGAAGTCGTTAAAGTCATCTGGACAATAAGATGCTGGACTCTGTGCTGGGTATGTGCTTGCAATGAAGGAATTTCAACTGAACTTGAACTGTGGTTATGCAGAAGGTGGAGGAATCCACCATGTAGGGAGGGTTTTGGGAGGGGCGAGGGAAATCCCAGAGCCTATAAAACTGTATCACATAATACAATGTTATTAACAATAAAAAAAAAAAACTAGTGAGTTGTTGGAGATGGAGAGGGTGAAAGGGGAAATCCCTGAATCTAAAATTGTATCACAAAAATATAAAAATTTTAAAAATAAAGAAAAATGTATATGCAAATCACACCAAATATGGTAAAACAAATCAATACTCAAATTTTTAAAATAAAAAGTAAAGAACCAAATAACAAAAAAAAATCTTTACCAGGCACTGTGTGATAGCATAATGGTTAAGGTTCTCGCTTTAAACGCAATGGGATCCCATATGGGTGCCGGTTCTAATCCCGGCAGCTCCACTTCCCATCCAGCTCCCTGCTTGTGACCTGGGAAAGCCGGGGCAAAGTCTTGGGACCTTGCACCACATGGGAGACTGGGAGAAGAAGTTCCTGGCTCCTGGCTTCAGATCGGCACAGCACCGGTCGTTTGGGCCACTTGGGGAGTGAATCATTGGATGGAAGATCTTCCTCTCTGTCTCTCCTCCTCTCTGTACATCTGCCATTCCAATAAAATAAATAAATCTTAATATATATAAATAAATAAATAAATAAATCTTAATATATATTTACCAAGTCTATTCCGCTGACTACCCATAGAGGTAGCTGGTGGGAGGGAAGACAGCCCAGGCCTGTGACCAGGGACTTTCACATTGCCAGACACCCTGAGGTTACTGACTAGTACCCAGGGTGCCCAGGGTGCTAGACAAAGCCCTCTGGCCATCCAATAGCAAGCTCTGGGTCTTTGGGTTATGGACCTATACGGTGTCTGGTGGATGGCACAGGTAGGGGTTGTAGGAACCTGAAGGTTCATGTCTAGGTGACAATGACTCCGACGGACTCCATGGTTATTGCCACTGTTCTTGCAGGTAAGTAAGAGTGCTGAGACTGAGTTGTTTGGAGTGAGGAATGGGAATACCTTTAAGGGTCAGACCAAAATGTCAGTTCACATGGGAGACCTGAGCTGGAGTAGTAAGCATCAACCCATCACCAAATAACACTCACAGGCACACACTAAGACTTGGATGGGGCCCTCTTGATAGGGTTGGATCAAGGTGCCCACCAGTGAGAGTTGGGAGGAATGGGTGATGTGTGGCTGGGCCATGACACTGAGCAACATGTGAGTGAATCAGGACTAGAGGCTGAATTTGAGGGGTATACAGGTTCTCACTCCTGTGGAACAACAATCTCCATTGGCATGCACAAGAACTGTGTCTGCAGACATGCCTGGTTTGTGTACTAAGGGCACATCCCAGCTGGGTTGGGGTTCCCACTTGTGAGCACAAGAGCCAGTATGAGGGTAATAGTCTAGGCTGGACATGGCTGCAGTCTCCCTGGGTATGCGTATGGACTGGGTCTGGGGAGTGCCAAATTGGGTTAGACTCCAGCACCCACTGGTACTCATGAGAGTCAGCATGGGTGTACAATGGGCTGGGCTAGGTTTCAGTTCCCACTGAACCATGTGAGGGCTGTGTCTGGGTGTGGACCAGGTATGTCTGGGCTATGACACCTAAGGGTGAGAACCAGAATGGGTGTAGGCTGGTTGGACAAGGCCATTGTTCCTGCCAGGACAAGAGGTGGACAAAGTCTACCTGGGTCAAAGACCCACTGGTGTGTGCAACATCTGCCATTGGGAGGACACCTGATAGAGGAGTTTGGGAAACTCCTTTGTCAGAACACAGTCCTTGCACAGGAGCTGAAGACCCAAGGCAAGGAGTGACCCATTTCAAGCCAGGTTATAATACCCACTGACTTGCATGTGGGTCAGGTCTGTGGGTGGATCAGGCTGGTGTAGTTCATAGCATGTGCTGGCAGATCTGAGAACTGTGACAGGGGCAGGGCGGGGGTGGGGGAGGGCATTGGATCACAACCAGTTCATATTAGGGCTGGGACTGGGGCCTGGCTGGGCTATAGGACCCACCAGCACAAGCTGGAATTTGGGGCAGTCTTACTCAAGCTAGGCTGCAGCACCTGCTGGTAGATGCTAAGGTGATGTGAGCCGTGAGAGCCAGGGGGAGGTGGGTACTGGGTCTGAGAGCCCTGGGGGTAGGGGATCCTGCAGCCTGGGTCTTTAGCATGCTTGTGTGATGAGTGTTGGGTTTTTGAGCTCCGGTTGTGAGGATTCTGGCAGGGCCCCGGTTACCTTCAGCTTTGGGAATGGGGTATCTGGGGAAGCAGTGGTCTCCTGGTATGGGTCCTTGGTCCTCCTGCACTGTGGGTGCTCTGTCGAGCCACTGGAGTATGGGATCTTGTTGCCTGGCCAGGGTCCTTAGCTTGCCTAGATGGTAGGTACCATGAGCTTCAGGGGCAAGGGATCTGGCAGGGTTTGGGTTACTTGTCCAGGAGCCATGGCACACCTGCATGCTGTGGGCTGGTTCCATGTGTCCTGGGATGGGAGTTCCAGTGAACCCGTGTCACATAGCTCATATCCTTGGCCTACTGGCACAGTAGGGACCATAACTGTGAGCATGGACTCAGAAGTGCCTCCAAACCTGACTGATGTTCTTCGGCACTTTGAGAACTGTTTGAGAACTGTTTCTCCTCAATGGAAAAGACCAAGTAGTGTTCCCTAGCACAGATACACGTGGAAGATAGGGCAGATCATTGAGGCCTGCTTGGGATATCTGTAATATCCTAGAGAAAGGAGGAAAAAACCAACTAAACAACTACCCCTGCCAAACAATGACAGCAAATATCTGGGTGAATGCAGACTCTGAGGATCACATGTCAGCCAATGGACATTGGAAATGTTCTGCCAGAGTCCATCTCCAGCCGAGTTCAGAGCTCGGGAAGGGTGCATGGAGTCGGCGATAAAGAAAGACACAGACACAGACACTTGGTGCGTCCTCACAACAGCTCAAGAAAAACCTGTCCTTTTGATTTACTCAAAACCCCTCTCAAGCTTCTGCACAAGCAACTATTCCATTTTTACTTTAAGACTAAGGGGGCATGTACAGACCTTTGGTCACTCCGTCTGCACTTCAAGGCTAAGCAGGTTCCCCTAAAGATAATTCTGCAAAATACTGTATTCATATTCTTCAAAGCAAGCTATTATTCATTTTTCAACAGTAGCCATGGAGCAACAGCCAGGACTCCAAGGCCAAGGCACATGAGATTACCTGCTAATCAGTAGTACTTTCCCACCACATTTCTACTTCTACAATTTACCCATCATTTAATGGGAAAATAGGTTACAAGGGAAAAACCCTAAAATCCAAACAGATATTTCAAATATAAAATCCCCCTACAACTACAGACTCTATAACCCCATAAACAATGAGACAATAGTCAAAAGCATTTTTCTTCAATAAAAGCATCCTTAATTCCTCTAGCTAAAAATTATAAAAGCGGCTAAAACAGTTGCATTTTCTATGCTCCAAAAAAATTGCTAGGATAAGCCAGCCTTTGAGATAACAATAACAATATTTATTGCCATAGCAGTTTCAACTCTCACTCCCGTCACTTGCATTAATATTTAGGATATATATCAAGCCCCTTCTCAGAAGGTGTGCTACGTGTCTGGGCCAAATTCTAAGACAATGGTTAAGTACCCAATAAGGTGTCCAAAAATGGTATGGGCTTAATTGTGCTCCTGTGTGTAAATTGTCAAAGGCCCACTCACCAAGACATTATCAGTGACATTAACTCTCAAGCTCACATTGGTGACAAAAGCCATCCCACAGGGGCAAACAATGCCTCAATAGATTACAGATTTCTTAGTGGGGTAGTTGAGTGTCCATGCAAAAAGGTGGTGAAACAAGATCAAAGTGGCCAGAGAGAAATCCACCTGGCCCTGCCAAACAGGTGGAAGTTCCCCCGGCCCCTGCCAAGCAGGGGAGCTGTTCTCTTCACACCTTTGTGCCATCCACACCCACTGCATGGACCTCACCAGTGT